GCACAGCGCTGCCACGGCACTTCGCTGCCACGGCGCTTCGTTGGTCCCCCGGTCACCGGTTGGGTCCTCGACTACCGCAAGGTGACGCGCGCGGGCGGGCCGTGCTACGCGTGGTCGTCGCCCGGCGGTGCAGCAGACACACGGCCCTGTTCACGCCGCAGACGGTGTGAAGAGGCGCCGTTCACGCGGTCGGGCTGTGAACAGGCGCGCGCGGGGGGGGGGGGGGAGACGCGGCGGGCTCGGTGTGAGGAGGCGCCGTTCACGCTGTTGATCTGTGAGCAGGAGCGACGCGGCCACCTCGAGGCGCCGCAGTGCCCTACCGTCCCCGGCACTCAAATCCAATGGTCTCAAAACAGGCGCGGGCGAGAAGCGGCCGCTCGAGACGCTGCAGTACGAGGCGCGGGTGGCGGTGGAGGCAGAGTGCGGCCACTGGGTCAAGCTCAAGGGCGAGATCGGCCGAGATTTCCCCGAGATCAGCCGAGATCGGCCGAGATCAGCCGAGCTCTTACCGATGTCACCCGAGATCACCCGAGGTCGTACTACAGGGCGTGGCCCCAGCGCGCATCGTGTCCATCCGCAAATGGGTGAACGACTTGACTAACTATAGCTGCATGAATCCCCCCTCAGGCGTGCCGCAGCCGGCGTGGGTCGAGCTGGACGTCTTCCTCGCCGGGTGAGAGAGTTGGGGTCAACCTCAATAGCCTCCACCGAGCAGCCCCGTGCAAGAATGTGCCGCTCGGGAGGGGGCCTCTATCTCTCGCTGAACAGCGTCTTTTTTTTCTCGCTCAAGAGCGTGTCGAGATGGGCGCAGCGCGCGCGGCGAGAGCAGGCTTCTTACATACATGCACATGCACATGTGACGATTACGGCTTTAGATGTGATTGAAAAGAAGGGTGAAAGGCCTCCCTCCCCCTCTCCCCCTGCAATCCCCTGAGGAGGACAGGGTCCTCCCCACCTGCACGAGCTACGAGCAGGAATTTGGAAAATTGGACCGGGGGACCCGTCACCCGAGCGTTAGAGGGTCCGCAGCGTCCTAATCTAAAATCTGAGGATTCAGGATTGAGGCATCGCTTCAGTGAGGCCAAAGTGAGTTTATGGATGTGTGAGAACGGTGCGGGGGACGAGGAGTCACGCGGACCGACTCGTCGGTGACTCTGCTGCACGCCGTTTCAGAATTTTTCTCAGCGTGAGCGAGACGTGGAAGAGTGCCACCGTCGGGTAGGACAGGTCGGCCCGGAGCAGCGGAGTAGCCGTCGTGGTCGCGGCGAGCAGCGCCGGCCACTCCGGCGCCGCGTCGGCAACATGGGAGCATGTCCACCGCCACTTCGCGGTCGCAGCGCTGTTGTCGCCCGAAACGCCGCATGTACCTCTGGCGGGCCAAAGATCGACTCGCATGTCGATTTCGACTTGACGGCAGCATGGAGGCATCATGCCTCCATGCTGCCGTCAAGTCGGAGCCAGTCTGCGGCGACCACAGCGCTTGCAGGAGGTACATGCGGGAGCTTTTCAGGGGAGGGTACCCATTCGTTGCTGGTAGCGAGTCGACGCTGCTTGACCTGCCAGCGTCGACTCGCCCTGTTCGCAGATCTCCTCTGCTGGCGCCATGTGCCTGTCGCCGGCGCTGCAGAGCGGCGAGGACATCGTCAGCCACCAGCTCGAGCTGCAGTCGATCTTGCACGGTGTGCACCAGCGCTACGCCGGCCGCCAAGGGCGGTACAACAAGCACGACACGGCGCGGCTCCGCTACATCAAAAACACCGCCTTCCCGGGCCTGCGCTTCGGCAAGATGGTGCCGGAGCGAGACATGGCGATGCTCAGCCCTCTCCCACCGTCGCGGATCGCCCGTCACCTCGCCTCTCCGCAGGGTCATCTCTCGCGCCGTCTGCATCTCTCTGCCGGTCGCCAGCACCCGCCACCGACTGGCTGCACCGCCACTCGCGACGCGCCACCCTCGCTCACCAGCCTGCATACGCGCTACTCCCGCCGTGCCTTTGCTGCCACATGGATCGCATGTCACTGCAAACGCGCCCGCAGCCGCGCCGTAAAGGTCTGCCTTGCTGGCTGACGATCTCACTCTCCCGCTCCTATTGCATCTGCCTCCCGCCTCCCAGCTCACATTTGACACTGCAGTAGGTGCTCCTGTCGACGCTGCCGCCGCTGCCACCGCTACTGTCACCGCTCGTTTGATAATCGACGCCACGCTTAGCGGCAGCGAGATCCGAGGTTGAGTCAACTTGCCTTGCGTTCCAAGCGACGATGGCACGACCACCGCCCTGCTTCTAACCGGGCAAGGAGGGCCTACTCCCGTTCCGCGAGGAACAGGAGGTCTCCCCCCCTCCCCCGGCCTGAGCAGCGACGCGTGGACGGCAGCCCTTTCGAGGTTGGCAGGCGAGCCAGTTCAGTCTCAGCCACACGCCCCCCGGCGCCTGTACTCCACCAAGTCAAAGTGAAAAGATCTTATCAGCCAGCCGGGCAGGGCAGGCGGGCAGGCGGGCGGGGTCAGGGAAGACTATTCCAAGACTCGCGAGAGATGCCACACGCCCCTCGCGCGAGGCAGTTCGCAGAGCACCTCCTACCATAAATAAATAAAACGGGCACGCCAAACGAGGGGTGGGAGAAGGACAGGGTCCCCACCTGCACGAGCAGGATCTTGTAAGGACGATCAGGGACACAGGGGAACGGGAGCGGGGAGCGCATCGCGACACGGAGGGGGCTGGGCAGGAGGTTAGTTGGGAGAAATTCTTTTTCCTCTATGCCCGTCTGCTGTCCGTATTATCCGCGCCGTGCCACGGCAGACGTATGCTCCCGCTCAGCGTCTTCTCCGCCACCGCGGCCGCGTTGCTGCACACAGCTGCACGGGGTCTCGTCCCAGCAACCGCTCCGCCGCGAACCCGGCTGGTCGCGCTCTCCTCCGTGCCGCGGCTGTGCGTGCTCGACCTCGACGAGTGCGTGTGGTCTCCGGAGATGTACACGCTCAGCCACATGCCCAGCAGGCCGCTGATCGGCGATCTAAACGGCCGCGGCGAGGGCGTCGTCGGCGTTCACAGCGGCGGCGACGTGATTCGCATCTACCCAGGCGCGCTGCTGGCGATGCAGGAGGTGGCAGATGGGCTGCACGGAGAGATGCGCATGGCGGTCGCATCCTCGGCCGACACGCCGCTGGCCGAGCGGATCGGCCGCGCGGCGATGGAGCTACTCGAGGTGCTTCCCGGCCTCACGATGGCGGACCTGCTGAGGCGAGGCTACGAGGACGGCCGCAACTTGCAGATCGGGCGGCAGCCGCCGCTCTCGAGCGACAAGTCCCGCACGCACTTCCCCATCCTGCGCGACGCGTGCGGCGTCGCGTACGAGGAGATGCTCTTCTTCGACGACTCGGCGAGACGCAGCCGAGAGGGAGGGAGACGGCACACTGCCCATGCCACGCACGCCTCTCGTCGCTCCCCCGCCCCGAAGGTGTGGAGCGACCACTGCGGCCTCGTCGCTGCAAACTGCCCCGGCGTGGTGACGCAGCGCACGCCGCGAGGCATGCAGGAGCACGAGTGGAGGAACGGGCTGCGCAAGTTCGCGGCGGAAGCGGCCGAGCGGGGCGCCTCGACCTCGGAGCCGAGCGGGGCCTGAGTGTGTCGCGTATTTCGGTGTCGAGTAGCGCCTGAGGTGACTACAAATGTCTTGCGTATTATGAGTCTGTCTTCTGCATCCACCATCGGCTGAGGTCTTATACTCTGACTCTATATGCGCACGCACCCGAACTCGCCCCAGATCGCGCTGAACCACAACGGCACGGTCTTCAAGGACGCGAGCAACTACGTGAGGAAGGTCGGCCATGCAGCATGCCCTATCACTAAGTTGAGCAGCGCCCGCTCGGTGTTGCCGAAGGCGACAAAAGCCCCCTTCCAGCCGAGCCGGTCGCCACCCTTGCACGCAAGCGAGCTCGTAAGTTTCAAGTCGCCAACGAGGCGCGCATGCCCTTTGCCGATGTTCGCCGCCGCCACGTCGTTGTGAGAGGGGGGCGCACCTCGCCCTCTCTTCCCGCACGAGTTCTCCAGGCACTCGCACAGGGGGAGGGTCCTGACGTCCCCGGTGGAGCTGCACGTTAGCGAGGCCTCGCACCGTATCTGAGAGGCTTGTATTTTAAGAATTCTTCTGAAAAACGGCGTTTTGGCCGCGGGGTACATCTCGCGGGGTACATCTTGGACTGGATGCTGAAGATTGCCTCGCTTCTGCTCGTCGCTCTGTCGACGTCTGCCCTGCCGGTGCGTCGCTCCGCCCAGCCGCACTTACTCACATGCAGGCTTGAACTTACACGCACCACACGAGTGCGCAGGCAGAAACCGTCGACGACATCAACCCAGCCGCTCGCGGCCTCGCCTTCGCGCCCAAGCCCTCTCCTCCCGTGCCCGACGTGGTCGACGACCCCGCCTGGCTCATCGCCACCTCTGGGTTCTGCTCGAACCTCAACGTCGTGATCAAGGAGCGGGACGTCGGAAAAGGCGAGACGGAGGGCGATACCGCGGCCCACTTCATCGCCGACATTGCCTTCAACTACTACCCGCAGACGGCGGTCAAGTTCACCGATTTCCCTCACCACCTCGCGAAGACCATCGAGGGCGACGCGGCTGAGGCGGACGCACTGGTCTCGAATGCGTGGGACCACAAGAATATCGCGCTGCTCGAGCCGACGTCCTCGTGCGGCGCTGGCGACCAGAGCAGTCAGGCGTGGGGGATCTCGGTCTTCAAGGTGGAGGAGCACCGCCACTGCACGGACGGCGAGACGGCGTGGGAGGGACATCCTTGCGTCCACTACTCCGGCTACGTCTCGGCGGCTACGTCCAACTTTGTCAACGTGAATGAGGGCCGGTTCGTCTGCCAGCTATTCGTTGACTCGAGCTTCGCGTGGCAAGGCCCAACCAATTACTACCTTGCCGTCTCCTGCGACTTGGATGCGCAGGAGACGGCAATTACCCAAGCAGAGGCAAGTGCAACCGGAGTGACGATAGACGGCTGCCCCACGGAACTGCCAACGTGCTTCATTGCTGAGGAATCCACCAAGGTTCCCGAGCGCCAACCCAACTGCGTCTGCGAAGACGACAACCATGAACTCATGAACGAGGCCTTCAAAGCTGGAAACGCGGCTGCAGATGTAACTGCGTGTGGGCCCAACCCAGTTCTTAAGGTAAACCCAGTCACTGGGAACAGGGCGTGGTTTACCCGCGGCCCACCTAGTGTGCAATGCTCTTACACGAATCCCGTGCTGGAGTGCATCTGCGCCGACTGCACGTTTTTGGGATCATCTGCCAATCCCAATCAGGCTGGAACGGCGTCGTGCAAGTGCCGCCCGAAACCGGACCCCACGCGCACCTGGCGCCGCCGGCTTGCGGCATTTGTTCAAAAGGGGAACTTTCTCCGTGGTCGCGCCTTGCAAGCAAATTGCGAAGAGTACCAGACGGTGCTGCAGACGTTCAGGACGTGCCTCGAGTGCAACACGACCGCTTGCGACAACTGGTGAGAGGTGAGATCGGCGTGCGTGTGCAAGGCCGCGAAGACCTTCGAGCGGCTCCTTGATGCGGGCATGAACTTCGTCTCTAGTTCTACGACGTTGGTAGGCGTTCCCCAAATTGCGGAGGTGGACTCAGTTGCGCCTCATCGACATGCCGGTGGGTTGGGCGTCTTGGCGCCGGCCCGGTTCTCTTTGTAAGTATGTCTGGGTCTGGGTGGTGAGGAGGGGTGGGCGGGGCGACGATGCCGGCGCGAGGCCTGCAGCCGTCACCGGCTGCAGGCTCCGTGGTACGAAACTAGGGTTGCAATTCGGCGCCGGCCCGGTTCTCTTTGTATGTGCCAGTGCGCGCCAGTCCCGTGCCCAGTGTTGTGCGAGGGAGTTTTGTTGTAAAATTCTCTTTGTACAAAGTACCCCGAGGACCAAACTTTGACACGTAGCGCACGGGTCATCTCGGAGAGAGAAAGGGGAGGGATGAGGGGGGGGATAACGGATAAGGGAGCACCACACCGAGGGAGTACCGTAGCCAGTACCCTGGGAGTGAGAGAGGTCAGGGGAAGCCACCATGGGGGACAGGCACCAAGGCACTAACTTCATCACCCATTCGCCCCGCGCGATCTAGCAAGCCCGGGTCGATGGGTCTTAGGATCGGCGGCCAGCTTCCCACATATGGCAGGTTACGGGCTGGGGGGACCCGCGCCAAGGGGGAGAGAATGGAGGGGGGAGAATATGCGTGCCCGTTTTTCTTCTAAAGCATTTTTTTATATGCGCACGCACCAACGTACTAGGCTACGCTGAGCCCTGGTCTGACAGCCTGACAGCAAACCCGGACAGCGCCTGACAGTGCCCGACAGCCTGACAGCGTTGACAGCACTTTTTCTGACAGTCTGACAGCACGTATCTGACAGCCTGACAGCAGAGTCTGACATCAGAGGGGCTCCGTCGCTGTCAGGCCCTAACGTGACAGCCTGACAGCTGCCTGACAGCCCGACAGCACACAGTGGCCTGACAGCAGCGCTGACAGCCCGACAGCCCAACCAGCCCGACATCAGCACAGACCGTACACAGCCGTGCAGCCTCTTTCTTGCGCCCCATGAGGGTTTAACAAAACATGCAAAGACATGTGAGTGTGGTCCATGCAGTGTCATGGGATGGTCATGCCTCATGGGTCTCTCTCTCAACCCTCCCGCCCCACCTCTGCGGACCCGCGGCTGTGCTACAACTACAAATGAAGCTACCAGCTAGCCTTCTGGGGCCCTACAGTCATATGCCTACGGCGTCTGGGTGGGGGTGGCCGCCGCCGTCTGTGCCGCGCTGCCGCCGCCGCCGCCTCGCGCCTGCGCCTGCTCCGCCATCTGCGCTCCCCAGGCGGACCCCTTCTAGGCAGAGTAGAGACTAGAGTATGTGTAGAGCTGTAGTAGAGTCCTGTTGGATGTTGGTCTCCTCTTGATAATGTCATAAGTGTGGATAGTGTGTCAGAGAGCCTGACAGCACCCCGACAGCACCAACCGACAGCACCTGACAGCACCGGCGTCTCTGACAGCAGCAGCAGCCCGACAGCTCTGACAGCTCCGACAGCGTCTGACAGCAACACCCGACAGCTCCGACAGCACCCGACAGCTACGGAGCCCCTCTGATGTCAGACAAGAGCACCCGACAGCACCCGACAGCACTGACAGCACCTGACAGCTGGTCTGACAGAGGCACTGACAGTGCCTGACAGTGCCTGACAGCCTGACAGATCACCTGACAGCACCTGACAGCCTGACAGCCAGGGCTCAGATCCGGTGACGTGTGGCTCTCATCAAACCCCGTCCTCTATAGACCCACCTACCCATCTCCTGACTCCTGACCGACACACAGAGTCTGCTCGGCACAGGTACCAAAAGGGAGTTGCGCTGCTGAACGACGGAATCGCAAGCCCCTGGTGGCTGGGGTGCTCCTGACTCCTGTGGCCGCCCCGCGCCCGCCCGATATAGCCGATACAAGAGGCCAGCATTGTGCGATGAGCATCTGCGTACAGGCCTCAACGTCTAGAAGACAGGAGGCCCACACGCCATCCGCACGGTCACGGGCGGCACTTCACTCGACGAGCGGCGAGATGGGCACGACTGCAGGAGTCATCCCGATGAGCGTCAGCTCGTCGTCGTCGTCCTCAGGGTCGTGCTGGAGTGCGGGTGTAGTCCGTTGGCTCTGGCCGCCGCCAAAAATCAAGCCCTCCTCCTCGCCGAACGGCGCACGCGGACCATCGCGCTGCACGATCCGCAAGAGGCGCGCACCCCTCAGTGCATCAAGCGACAGGCCGCCGTGTAGGGCTTGCTCACGCCCCGACGCGTCCACAAAGCTGGCGTCCACAGCCACGTTGCTCCCGTAACGTCGCTCGCCGATCGACGTCACCAGTTCGGCGAGCGAGCACACGCCACCGATGGTGAGCCACTCGGTCGCTGTGTAGCATTCGTGAGCAACAGCGATCGCGCCATCTCGGACGGGCGGAAGCGACGCGAGCAGCGCTCGTCGCCGCCTGCTCTCAACGATGAAGCGTGTGGCTCGGTAGCAGGCCCACAAAAGGGCGGCGGCGGCGAGAACGGTGCTTGTGCTCTCGAGCTGACGAAGCTGCGCGGACCGAGCCACCTCCACGGGCACAGCCTCCATCGGCTCTGGCGTGATGTCTGATGTTAAGAATTCTAAGAGGTGTGGACGGCCCTGTGCACGTTATTTCTTTTCCTCGCGATGTCCACCCCGCCGCGCCGCCGCTCGCGCCGCCTCGCCTCCGCCTCCGCCGCCGCCCCCTCGCCAGACACGCCGCCGCCCGCCCGCCTCCTCGACCTCCCCACGGAGCTCATCGTGCGCGCCATCTCTCGCTGCGACAGCCCCGCCGACATCGCTCGCGTCGCCGCCGTCTCGCTGCTCTTCCACTCGCTCGCGGAGCAGGGCATCCGCTTGTGGGCGCAAGAGCGCGGCTTCGAGCTGCCGGCGCAGCCCGAGGACGAGACCTGCGCCGTGCGGTGGCTGTGCTATTCTGCGCTGCTTCGCGAGTCCAACCCGCCGGCGAGGGCGTCCGCAGGCTATCAGCACAGCGTCTTCATCGTCGGCGAGGGGCGGCTCTCGTCGTGCGGCTCTGCGCTGTGGCTCAGCCCAGGGGTACTCGGCCACGGCGAGGGCGTGACGCGGCTCAACACGCCGACCTGCCTCCCATCGCTGGGTGAGCGTGTCGTGAGCGTGTCGGCTGGAGCCCACCACAACCTTGCCATGACCGCCGACGGCGTCTGGAGCTGGGGCTATGGAAGCTCTGGCCGCCTGGGCCACGGCGACGACCAGCACCAGTGGCAACCGAAGAAGGTCGAGGCCTTTGCTCGGCGGCGCGTCATCGCTGTGTCGGCTGGCCAGGGCCACAGCTTCGCAATCACCGCCGACGGAGCTGTCTGGAGCTGGGGCAACAGCTACTTTGGCCAGTTGGGCCACGGCAACTACTGGGCCCAGCTGCTGCCCAAGCAGGTCGAGGCCTTTGCTGGTCAGCGCGTCGTCGCTGTCTCGGCGGGAGGCAACCACAGCCTCGCCCTCGCCGCCGACGGCGCCGTCTTTACCTGGGGCCAGGGCGAACACGGCTGCTTGGGCCACGGAGAGGACCTGTCGAACCAGCTGCTGCCCAAGAAGATCGAGGCCTTGGCTGGCCAGCGCATCGTCGCTGTGTCGGCTGGACTCTACCACAGCCTCGCCCTCACCGTCGGCGACGCCGTCTGGAGCTGGGGCCTTGGAGGTGATGGCAGGCTGGGCCACGGTGACGAGCAGCGCCAACTGCTGCCCAAGAAGGTCGAGGCGTTGAGGGGGCAGCGCGTCGTCGCTGTGTCGGCGGGAAACTTCCACAGCCTCGCCCTCGCCGCTGACGGTGGCGTCTGGAGCTGGGGCTATGGAGTCTCTGGCCGGTTAGGCCACGGCGACGCGCAGAACCAGCTGTTGCCCAAGAAGATCGAGGCCTTTGCTGGCCAGCGCGTCGTCGCTGTGTCGGCTGAGGCCATGCACAGCCTCGCCATCACCGCCGACGGCGCCGTGTTCACCTGGGGCAAGGGCGAGGACGGCTGCCTGGGCCACGGGGAGGACCTGTCGAACCAGCTGCTGCCCAAGAAGATCGAAGGCGTGGGCGCTTGAAGCAGTGAGCAGGGGTCGTGAAGGCGGCCGGTCGGACGTTCTGAGAGTGCAAATGTGTGGTTTCGAGTACCATAGGTCTACTCCCCCAAAAAGCCCGTCATGCTTTTATCCTCGAGCGCGCGTGGATCCGCCGACGGCTCGTCGAGTCTCGAGAGATGTAGTTGTGCAGACAGTGCGAGACAGAGAGACCAGTGTGTAGGCTACTGCCAGTCGGCAGTCCGGCCATGGCTCATCGATAAAAGTAAAACAAAAAATGTTTTCTCTTGTTTCCTCCGAACTATCCTTGAGATCCATTGTTGCAGAATGCAGGGGAGCCATAGCGACCCAGGGTTAGGGCTTGTAGCCCGATCCCGAAGGATCTCATCCGATGGCCGGGGGCGTCGGCCCTCACACGCACTCTAGAGCGGCCGCACACTGCTCGGTACCCCCCCCCTGCACATCTAAAGTCATGGCCGACCCCCCACCCCCCACTCTTGGGCCTGGTGGTTCCCCGAG